TATTAATTCCTTATAATATTTATACTGTTAGTAAAAAAATTCTTTACTCTCCTCCTTTGCAGAGGCCCATTAAATAAGGAGTACAAGTGGGCTGAAATTTTCTCGGATGGGCTGATTCGGTCCATTAAAATTAATTTTTATATAAGGATATTGTTTTGTAGTTTGTTTTGTTATTATTAGAAGAATTACTTGTTTTATAAGGGGAAAATTAAATGAGTGACATGTTTTATTGTTTAAAATATCCATTAATACTTATTGATTTAGTTATTAAAATTTAAAATTTAAAGCCTTAAGTTTTTTTATCTTAAATTTTAATTTAAAAATGATATCTTTTTATAAATAAATTATATAATATATTAAATTAAAAAATATATTAATCATCATTCATTATCCTTAATCCCTTATTTTAGAATTCAAAGTGAGTCTGTTTTATGCAAATTAGACCATGGGCAGAAGAAGAATTACCCTGTTTTTATTTTGAATTCTTATTTTGTACTTTAGATTTTATTAAATTAAAAACAAAATCATTAAATAAAAAATAAGCCCTCAATTTTTGTTTTTTTTTGGTACATAAGAAGTTAAACAACACTAAATCCTAATAAGCCCTCAATATTAAAGACATATTCCATCGTCCTATCTAATTATTAAAATTGTGAATTCTAAATTGCACCATCTTTATCTTATAATTACCAAAAACAATTATTTTATAATTTAAATTATATTAAATTATAAAACATATATTTTTAAATAATAAAAAGTTGGTTTCTAATATTGATTATCCTCTCTTCTAAAATTCTTATTTTACAGGTTCGCATTGCGTAACTGTAAAAGAGCTGACTCTTACCATTTTTCCTTTAATTATCTGCAAAAGAACAAATGATTTAGGGTTTGAGCGGGCGAGCAGGCACGGTGCCAAAGCGTTCCTCTTTCCAGAAAAATTCAGGAAAAATGCCTACATTCTTTCCGGAATTAGTCACTGACATTCTCCTCCTCCTCCCGGTGAAGTCTCTTCTCCGATTCAGATGCCTTTCAACATCACATTGCTCCGAAATTGACAGTGCCGATTTCGTTAAGAATCATCTCAACATATCAATCCAAAAGAAAATCCGTCAAAAGCTACTCTTCTGCGACTCAGAATCCATCACGAATGGTTTTGCCTTCGATTTCTACTGTGCTGATTTTGATGACGACCTCAAAGCTGCCTTCCTACTCAAAAACCCGTTAAAATCTCCGCATCGCTGCACCATGGTATGTGCTTCTTACAATGGTTTGATTCTCTTGGGTTTTAGATTTAACAATCTCGCCTTATGGAATCCATTCACTCGGCGGTATAGGAGACTACCGCTTTGTCCCGTGAAAACCCTCTCTGGGTTTCAAAATTTCGTGAATTTTGGTTTAGGGTATGATTCTGCTCTTGATGACTACAAGGTTGTGACGATTTCAGAGTTTCATGACTCCAATCATGTTGTTTTCCAAGCATGGGTTTTTAGCTTGAAATCAAATTCTTGGAAAAGGAGTCAAGATATGGAAAACAAATTTACGGCGTTGGTGGGGTGTTTTGCAAATGGTGCTCTGTACTGGGAATGTGATAATAAGTTTGTTGGTTTTGATCTCACAAATGAGGTGTTCTTTGACGTCCCTTTTTTTCCTGGTTGGGACCCTAAATCTATCTATCATCATGATTATGATATCTTGGTAGTTTTTGGAGGTAACCTTTATGCTTCTATAATACGTGATGAGCATAAAAGTGTTGAATTTTACTTGTTTGTGAGTGATAAGAGCGGAGAAGTTGCTGGTGGTAGTTGGAGGAAAGAATTCACTTTGGAAGAAGGGGATCTTTCGCCATTGGCATATTCAAAAGAGGGGGATAAAATTCTTTTTAGAAAAGGAAATGAGATTTTTTGGTATAACCTTGAAGAGAAAACAAGACAGAGGGTGGTCGTGGCGAGTCCTGTGATGACTGATTTTCTTTGGATAACTGACATTTTTGGTAGGCCTGAGGTTCCCGTGTACAATTACCATGTTTGCTGTGAAAGTCTTGTTTCTCTTGGCAATGATGCTGCATTTGATGGGGCACCTTATTAAGTGAAATTTTAGAATGATTTAGAGATGTAGAACAATATCAATGGCTGAAAATGTAGTAAATCTAGCATCTTTGAGTGTAGGCCCTTTTTCTAAGTCTTTTTTGGTTACATGCTCCACTTTATATTAGTAAATCTCTCTTATATTTGATAAATATCGCTGCTTTACCATTTGTTATGAATATTTCGTTTGTTTTTTTTTTTATTTAGTGTATGTAGACTCTGTGAGTCAGTTATCTAAATGATGAATCGTCTGCTAAAGTTGCCATAACTTCAAGCATATTGGTCTTGAGTAAATGTGAAGAGGCTTCCCTTCCATTGTTGGACGTTCATTAGCTGCATCGTTGACTCAAAAGAAGCATTCTTAATTCTTATCTGGCCTATCATGGTTGAAAGGTCTGAAAAAAATGGAAATTGCTGTTGTTTCATATTATTTTAATTTATCTGGTAGTTGAATTACTCTGTCTCTTGTTTGATTTTATTTGATCATGAACTACCATAGGGGTTTCTAACCTGTCTCAAGTGATAATAAAGCATAGGGGTTTCCTTTTTAGTGCACAATCAAAATAGAGAAAACAGTGAAGTTCTGATTAGAGCATGGTGTACAATAGTTCAGATTAGAATGGATTTGGGAGGTCTAGAGAACAAGTTGTTCGACTGATTTTTTTCCTATCTGATGATCTTCACGCACTCCCCATTTAGAACCTCATAATATATTTATGAAAAATGCATTTTAGGATAGGTAAATCGCGCGAAGCATCATATGAGGCTTGTGTGCGTAAATGAATGAAGAATGCAAGCGGGCTGAAATTTTCAATCGGTCATCCCAAGCTTCATCCCAAGCTTCATCGGAGTTATATATCTATTTGGTTTTGAGGGAAGCGGGAGAGAGGTTAAGGAAAATTGCTATAAGGTCCTTTTTCTTCCTTTCCTTCTTTATTGTAAATTTCTTCAGTATATTAGATAACGGGTTATGCAATGCTTCATTTCTCTTAATCTCTTTCTACCTATACTAAGATTAGAACATTTTAGATCTTTAATTTGAAATTTTAATTTTTTAATGATTTAAATGACCCTTTTGAGAGTATCTATTCTCTCAAACTGAATGGACTATCAAAATAAGATTTTGATTTAGGAGGAGTGAAAGTGAAGAATAAACCTTTTAGTTAAATAAATTATAATATTTTTAAATATTATAATCTTAATATGGTTGGTAAAAAAATTCATCTCTACTTCTTTCATCCAGGCCTAGTAAATAAGGAGAACAAGTGGACTGAAAGTTTCTGAGATGGGCTGATTTGGTCCATTAAAAATAACTCTTTATTATATGATGTTGTTCCGGAGTTTACTTTGTCAGTGTTGGTAGAAGAAGAATTATCTATTTTTTAAGGGGAAAATGAGTGCTATGTTTTATTATTTAAAATATTTACTAAAACTTATTAATTTAGTTATTAAAATTTAAAATTTTAAGTTTTTT